GAGGAGGCAATTTTCTGGCAACCATAGGTTTTTCAAGATGCTTTTATATTAGAATAAGTGATGAAAGGATTTTAGGGAAACAGATGAGTTGCTCTCAGGTTGAAGAAAATGTGGCTTGTTTCCAGGCAAATGCACATACGAGTGTCTGTCTAAGTGTGTGTGCCTGGTTAACTAGTCCAGTGTGAATATGAGAAAATGTTGTGAATGCCAATTATGTCCTACAAACGTTCTGAGAGAGACATAGAAGCAATTTGTATATTAAGCAGTTTATTTATTATTAATGCTGGTCTCTGAAGGTAGTCCAGGCTTTTGCATGCAGAGCTACGTTGTATTTGTACCCCATGTTCTTTGTGCTGATCTGAGTTTTCGAAGAAGTTTGTTTGAGCCAAAGGACAGAACTACAAATTAATTGAAATCAAGATTCCCTCCACACCCCCTGAACTGATATTTTACAGGTAGCTGTAGTTTTCATATTTAAATGTCTTCAGTTTGTGTCAAGAGATAAGAGTCATTTTCCTCTGGATTACGACCAGCTTCATAAATAGAATCTCAGTCATCCAGCATGGGATGAGCTTGTCTGCCATTTTGTGAAGGGCGGTGTGTTGTCTTCCCCATGTCAGTCTACACAAAGGAACAACACAGGGATTATGCACCACTAGCAGCCCCTTGCTTCCAAAGGGGCAGACAGACTGTAAAAGTTGCAGCCCCCCATGGGCTCTCAGGAAGCAAAAGGGTGGGTGGGCATCAGGCAAAGATCCAGGGAGTTGAGCAGACTGGGCAGCAGTGTGCTATTCTTCTACTGTGTGTGTACCAACTGAAAGTGAGCTGCTGATTCACAGACTTGGCTTTAGGTGAGCTAGCAACCATCGCTTTGTGCCAGGTCACGCTAATGCTCATTACCAGAGAGCAGTGCAGCTGCTGGGCTGTTTTGCTGTTGGTGAGGGACTAAAAGGAGTGCATAATCAGTTAAAAGTATTCTGGAACGTATGCGTATTCCAAGATACTTAAAATTAAGGTGAAGTCATTTGTGAAAACGGTACCATCAAGTTTGTCCCTGTGTCTTGGATAACCTGTCACTGTTGCTGAGTCCCTTTAGAAAGAAATACCTGGGAGCGGCGCAGGTAGGATTTGGTCTTAAGTTATCTGTATGTACCTGTATCTATAAATTATGTCTGAAGTTCAAAAAAGGTGGTGAAAAGGCTCAGAGTGAAACTCCCATGGTATCAATGGAAGTTTTTGGAGTAATAATAATGAAAACATGGATATAACAGGCAGGATATTCCTGAGGAAAAACAAAACGAAACTGACAAATCAACCCATCTAAAGTAAAATCCAACGATACAGTGGCTTCGATATCTTCATTGCGGAGCTCTTCTGTGGGTAATGGAAGTGGTATTCTTGCTCATTTAAAGAAGATATAAAATTCATTTGTTCCTATATTCCCCATTCCTGGGGACTTTTATGCCTTCGAGGGCAGCTGGAAAGATTTATGCCAGATTCGTCTCTGAAAGCAGTGGTATTAGTGCTATGTTTGTATTAGTTGGTTGGATGGGAGAGTTAAAGTTTATACACTTTTCAATGATATTTTCTTCTGAAACATCAAATTAAGTAAGGCACACTTTTAAATATCCCTCCTGAAAGGATATCTTTTATTTCTGCCTTTTTAACTTCTTTTATTTGTTTATTTTTAAACGAACTTTTCTTCCCTTTGAGTCCTAATGATTGGTTTGCAACTTTAGAGCAAGACGATGCCTCCTGTTCTTCTCCCCTTAAGTCTGAGTATAAAGGGAAGGATGAGTCTGGACATAAACTTGGAGTATTTTCTCATCTGACTGACGGGATTGAATGAAATCCTGTGACAAGTCCTATGATACTCAGATAACGTGCCAGTAATTGTTACTTTGCCTTCAACATAGAGTTGCAACACCCAGTGATGGAGAAATGGAGTTTGTGAATGAGAGTAGTTTTTATGGTATGAAGTTCAGCGTTTCTGCCTACCCTAGTTGTGCTCTGGCTTCTGTAGAGGACTGCCTTTCATTAGTCCCAGTGCCCTGAGCTCAGGCCTGAGCCTACTTACCTTAAGGCACGGCTGCCTTCTGAGGTATAAACGTAGTGAATGCCTGGGGAGAGCTGATGCCATTAGTGGCTCGTTAAAGAGAGGGAAGAGCTGCGAAAAGCTCTGACCAATCTTGGCAAAAGGTTACAGCATTTCAGCCTGCTCTGATCTGCCCTCTGCGAACATGCAGGGTGCACGTGAGTTCCGCAGCCGTTACAAGGGGAGAGTGGCCTTGCTGTCACATCTTTCCATCTCAGGATTATTTTTGTTTTTTGCCTGACCAGAGTGGCAGTCAGCACGTACCTGCTGGGGTGGAAGATGGATTGGTGATGGGGAGGCTTGTGGGGACAGTGTCCCCTCTGCAGTGTGCAGGTCGTGTTTGTGAAAGTGCTGTAATAATGTTTGCAGCCTGCGGTTATGCTGCAGATTAATAGTAACAGCTGTGGGGTAACAGAAGATTAAAACTGTCTTAGCATATGAGAACATCGGTGAGAAAATGCATCTGGTATGAAGTCTCCAAAGACTTACAGGACTGTATGTAAATAGTAAGTATGTTTCTATGGTGCTTTATCTTTCCCTCTGCTTGTGACTGCTGGGCTGTTCGCAGCATTTTTGTCTCTGGGTGGCATGAGGTTAATGGTATTTTGAGAGAGGCAGTAATGTGAAGAAGCTGTGCAGGATCTACACAGACGTGAAACATTTACATGACAAGTTTTGCTGGCCAGGTTTCAGATGGGGCAGAGTTTCACGCTTTGCAGAGCAAAAAGAAATGTGGTTACACTCTTCGCTCATGCAGCTCTGTTTCATCGTGGATTAATTTGTTCTACCTTTTTTCCTACAGGGATTTGTTAGGGTAGGGAAAAGATTATGAAATATGGTACTGTAGTTGGAGGTTCAAAAATATTTAAAAATGCTTACTCTGGGCTGTAGCATTTGTCTTGAGCTATTGAATTCCTGCCCATAAAGTGAGGCACTGCTAAGATGTAATCACTCAGAAGGAGAAAATTGCATAGTGTCTTCAAGGGATGAGTGGCAAATGGATGAATAATGTTAAAACAAATGGGGCAGGGATGTTGTAATAGCTGTATCTGGTAAGTAATAAGGTAATAAAAAATGAAAAACGACTTCTGTTCATGGATTAAGACAAATCATAATAAATGATCCTAGTCCCTGTGACCAAGCATGCAGCAGAAGCCAGCAAGGCTTTATATTTTCTCACACGATTACACTAGCACTTGAGCTTGTATGTGGCCTGTTACAAGTTACAGGCATACTCTTTTTCTTGATCTTCAAATTTGCTTCTTCCAAAATGTTTGAAGCTTTTTGATTGACGTGCCCTCATACAGAAAGACACTAACCAAAAGAGCTGAGTCTGAGTACAAAGTTGTTCAGCGTTACATAGTCCATTTATGTGGTTTTTTTTTTCTATGAATAGTAAAACTGAAAAAGGAAGCCTCAGATTTACCTATTTATATATTTTAGGACTTGCTGTGGAGTCATCTAAATGCATTCGGTTGCTCTTATTTATGAATTGTCATCTTAAGGCACTACAGAATTGCAACTTGTTTGTACTGAGTTCCCACTCATTGTAATTCTTTATAGCTGAAGAAATAGAGAAATGTTAAGAAGATAAGTTTTGAGC